TACTAAACAACTTAACGACTTAGTAACTACTAAAAACTAAACTAAAATACTAGTAAAATATAGATTTATCACTCAGCTCCTTCATGCCTGTCAAACACAGCTCTACATTAGCTGTCAAAAGGGCTGAATTACTTTTTGCAATAGTTAATGACATGTTCATTAGTGTGGGGGAGGTCATATGTGGATGCATTATGGAAATTTTAAAGAGGAGGAGGGATTCTTTATGCTTCTCAAGACTAATTAGTTTATTGTGTGAAGATGCAGGTGTTGACTGTGGAGAATTTTAGGAAAGAATAAAAGTTGTTTCTCCTATCACAGTGACAATGATTAAGGAGATTTATGCTACTACACCTATCATAACAGCCCTTTCCACTTCAACTAGGTTCAAGAAAGATCCTTCCCTGATAGATAATATTGAGTCGTTGTCAAAACAACTAAGTTTTGCTATGGATTTTGCAATATAGAGCTCAACCTAGGTCGATTCATAGAGACACGTCTTTAGTTAAATTCAATTTTAGTTTTTTTTTTTAAGAATGAAAGTAAGGTTTTGGGATTTGAAAAGTACGAATTAATTGAATTAAATTGTGAACAAATTAAAATTAAGTAAAAACAAATTAAGAAATATCAATTCACAGAATACAAAATACGTGTAACTCTGATTATCACAATAGCTAAAGATTTTAATTCGAGTTTGAACGTTTAGCCAATTCAATTATTAATTCAACCAAATAACCTAATTGAACTAGATCACAGATTAAATCAATTTATCATTTAACCTAACCCAAATTAATTATCAAATTTGAATATCAATTGAATCCTAATTTGAATTCTAACCAAAGAAAAGTTAATAATCATTGCAATACACAAATCTGAAATTAGAAAAAAAAGAATAAACTCAAAGAAATTTGGTTCAAAACTCAAGTCAAATTTACAACTTTTAGATTCTGCAGATTGAATGGAAGGTTTAGTCTTCTATCGAAGCACTTAACCCACACAATAATGAGAAGAGAAAAAGAGAATTAGAGAGAAAGTAAAAACAAAGATTCTTATTTTGGCTAAATCTCAAAAACTCAAAGTATTTAATCGTACAACCTAATTAAGAACCCTAATTAGAATAAAATTTTGCAGGAAACTTTGAGCTGAGAGTCATGAGGTTGAGATTCAAGAAAAGAAATAGAAGAAAGTGGCAAATCTGAACTTAGAGAGAGTAAAGGATCCCAAGTTGTATTCTAAAAGTGATCACTATTTGTAACACCTAATTTTTAATTTCAATTAAATAATAATTTCATAAATTCGAATAACCAAATTTTCATAAGATATTTCAAAATAAGAGAAGGGTTACAAATTAATATCAAATAACTGCTACAGAACTAGTTTTATTACAACGTTTTTCAAAATAAAATTTAACTATGTTTTCTATATTTGTCAAATACATACTTTCATATTCATTGTTCTGTTTTATTTTCTAATTTCAATATTGTTTACTTTTGCATCCAAACTTTATCTGAAATTTATGAGGCTCAATTAATTGTGAACTTGTGAAGTGATAATTGAGAACTTTATTTCCTGAGGACGATATTTGAGACTCAAACACAGTTCTAACATTTTATTACTTGCTACAATAACACTAGTACACTTGCTAGTCAAAATTACTTCTGTTAAGAAAGTGACAGTATTCATAATATATAGTACTTCAACTAACCTTGTTATTAATTTAATTAAAAAATTAAAACTATAAAAGACTTCATTTAAATTTAAAAAATTATAAAAATATACAAATTGATTCAAGTGATAAATAATTATGTATTAGTAGTAGGAGTGTTTGTGCAATAAGTTGGGACAAGTTTATTTTTTTATCCTTATCTCACTCAAAATTTTGGTTAGATTATTTATTTGAGTCTAAATTTTACCTAACCAAATCTCAATAATATGCAGAAGAAGTTCATATAACTTTATTTACATAATATATTAGTTTTAGAGTAAACCCTCAATTTGTCCCTTAAACAGTAACGATCATACATATTAATCTTTTAATATTTAAAATTGTTTCATTAGTTCTCGAAATATTTATCTTTCATGCAGTTAAGTCTTTGATATTAAAAGATGTCACATTAAGTGACACCTAAGATGTTACAACATCATTTCACACCATGTCCAATAATAATTTGACCGATTTTCATTATCATTATAGCTGCCATTCTTTATGTTCCCTCCCTTCTCTATCCACGATGCTTGTATCTGTCTTTGCTACCATTTTGCTTCCTTTTTCCACAGCTCCACTTCCTACACCACCACTTGCCCTAAAGTTCCTAGTGCCTCTTCTTTCTTTCTTTCTCTCTCTCCCCTTTTTTCTTCCTCCCTTTCTTACCCTCTCCTCAAAGTTACATTATTATAACCCAACCTATCATAGTCGTCTGTGCCCTCACTAGTATAAGTGTTGCAGTTTGGAATGTTATATATAGGGAGGGAACGTTAGAAATGGCAGTAATATCAAAAACAAAAATTGGTCAAATTAATCTTTGACATTGTGTGAAACTACATCATTTTAGCATCTTAATGTTTCTTAGACATTTGTTAATAGTGGAAACATGATGAACTACTATGACAAAGTCTAACAAAGCAATTTTAAAAAGATAAGTAATAATATGCATAATCATTACTATTTTAAAGACTAATTTGAGAGTTTACTCATTAGTTTTAACAAAAGTTAAAATATATTTATAGTAAATATTTTTAAAAAATTAATACTATGTTAATTAAAAATAAAGTCAAAATATCTTATTACCAATTCATGCTTATTAGAAAAATGATTTTGTTGACCATGCATCTAAAATAAGAATTTTCATAGATGACATATTTTATAAGATGACTTAAAATGATTTTGAATCAAATGTTTTGTTTGAACATCAAAATAATTATTATATGGTTGATATAAAACTTAATTCTTGTTATATACTTGTATGTCTTAGCTTCTATTATTATTGCTGGACTAAAGCAATATATAAATCTAAAAGATAAACATTTATTTGGAGAGTCTGATTTTAATAAAGAGGTAAAATAATTTAACTATATCTATTATTTTGACTTTATAATAAATAATTAACTAATGTCTTTTTTCTTTAGATTTTTTAGAGTAACAATACATAATTCTCAATTTTATGAGTTGTTTGTTTTAGACATCTTAAAGATTATGTATAAAATTTTGCTTTTAAAAATTGATGTATTAAGATATATTTAACACTTGATATTTAAATATTTGTTTTCTATCTATGCTTAAACTTTATTCAAAAGATAATATCAAATTTTTGTATTATTATGCTATTTATATAAAATTATATAAGCATATTTCTTTTACAAATATTTTTCTTAGACATATGCGAGCAATAGAAACGAGTATGAGTATAGGAATTAAAATTACTACTCATACAAATATAAAACTAGGTATAAGTATTTTTTTTAAAACACTACTTTATTCATTGTCATCCCTAAAATAAATTTAATACTGTCACATATTATGCCATATTATTTATTTTATAATATTTTATTATTTAAAATAAATATTTACAAAACAGTCATTAAATAATTTTACATATTTATAAATAAAGTCGTCTTCTTCCTCCATCATCCCTTTTCCTCAGCCTCACCTCCCCCGACCTCCACTTTCACCACATACCAGCATAGTATCGAAATAGATGAACCAACATTGGAATATCAATTTGAGCAGATTGTTCATATGGCTTGCCATTATCCCAAGTCTCGAGTGCAGCAAGCTCATCATTATGCTTTTCAAACAGATCAGCAGCAAGCAATAATATCCTTTGTCTTTCCAACAACAAGCACACAAGGATTTAGTTGAACAATCATGGGACAAAACATTTGAGCGTAAATGTAAGGGGCTGTATAACATAAAATCGCAGCGTTAACTATGAAGAGAGAGTAGCGGAAATGAAACCCCAAACGTGGGAATACGCGAGTGTGTTTGAAATCATTTATTATTTGTTAAGGGGAAATTAGGCAAATTCACCAACTCATCTTCCTCATCCAAACCCTCTCTTTAGTTCCATTGGGGTTGCTAAGGAAACTGCACATACAAAAATTCTATACAAGCTATTTCAGAATCAATTCTAAGATCGAATGCAATATGTTTATCTTTGGACATTGCATGTCTAGATTGACAATCCCATCGATTCCCTGCGTGCATCGACAGTACCGACAATGCCATTGCAAAAGCTTCTTTCTCTTCCATGCCTTTCTTATCCAACGTCTTAATCAAAGGAACAACGCACCCACACTCCTACATCTCTTTACTCGTCTTTTCCATCCAACATCGTAATCAAATTTTTCAAACACCCAATCATGTTTTCTTGAGCCAAAGTCCTTTCAAAAGAAGCCAAATCAAGAAGAACAACCACCGTGTTCTCTTCCACAAAATGGTGAACAGGTGAAGGTTGGGGGTAGGTTTAGAAGTGGAGAGATGAGGAGGGAGTGAGAGAGGGAGAGGTAGGGGAGTGACTTCGGAGAGGTTGACATGAGGACAGAGGGGTTGAGGAGGAGGGAGTGGAGATGAAGGTCGGGCTAGAAGTAGAGAAAATGAGGCTTTCGTGGTTGAAAAGGAAGAAAATTGGAGAAGAAAAAGATTTATTTTATAAATATATAAAATATATTATATATTTTTTTAAAATATTTATTTTAAATAATAAAATATTATAAATTAAATAATATGTTATGATACTGTTAAACTGACTTTTTATTTGATAATTTAATATTTAATAAAAGGAATTAATAATAAAAATTAAATTTTTAATTTTTAATTTTATAAAAATTACTTTTTAATAAAAATATTTTTAAAGATTTATCATAAAATAGTTTATATTTATAGTAATTAATAACATATTTAAATTTAATATAAAAATATAATTTTTTTTATTAAAATAAATCCGTTATCTTAGCTGATTATTTTTATTTTAGAATTTCAGCACCGAAATGTGGCAGAATGTCAGAAGTTCAGAACAGAAGCAAACACAGAAAAGTGTCCCGCCCATGGAAGGATACTGTAGATCCTCTCTCTCTCTCTTCCATTCTCATTCGCACTTCACTTTTGTAATCCCAGTTTCAATACTAAAAGCGAAGTCGAATAAGCATTTTCTCGTTAGGGTTTTATAATCTGTTTGGATTGCGAGAAAAATGTCAAACGAGATTCGATTCTTCGAGCTCAACACTGGAGCAAAAATCCCTTCCCTCGGCTTGGGAACTTGGCAGTCCAATCCTGGCCTCGTCGGGGAAGCTGTTGCTGCTGCCATCAAGGTTTCCGTTTTATCTTTATTTTATGCTTTCTATTTTTGCTTTCTTTTGGCAATCTTTTTTAGCTTATATATTTCATCATATCAAATATTTAAATTGAGGTTGCGGTAATGTTGTGACCGTTATGAGCCAATTGACCTCGATTATGATTGTTTTGACTTCTTTATATCATTTGTCCCCGCATGGCAAATCCTTGTTTGGACTACTGTTCTTAATAGGATTAAACCAGTGATTTACTTCAAATCTGAATATCTCTAACTGATAATCTTGCATTGCTCAGCAGTTTCTCTTTTCTGTACTAAGTACTAACTTGATTGGTATTTTTGGTGAACATTGGGTTTGCCTCTACGATCTTTAGTAGTTCCTGACTTCCTGCGTGTTAAAAGTTAATTTAAAAGGATTTGGCAGTATCCGAGATATAAAATAGCTTTGCTTTGTTCTCAGTTCGTGGTTGGTTTTGGTGTATCTTGTGGGAATTAAGCGCTTCTGAGTTCACTTGGAATAGAGCAGTTTTTTACCAAGTGGCCTCAGGAACTCAAGGGGGGTGAACTGCGTTCTAAAAAAATCACTTTCTGTTTGCAAAAATCCTTTTTATTAATTCTTTGTTGGTGTATGAGATTAAAGAAATGCCTAAGTGAGTGTAAATATGAATAATTTGATGCAAGTTATTGAAGAAGATACATTTACACACATAAGAATCAAACTCGCAACAATATAAAGAGTCAAGGGAAGAGAAATGCAAACATAGATTTATCCTGGTTGGTCACCCCTTGTGGCCTATGTCCAGTTCCTACTCAGGATTTTTCACTATTCGCCAATTCTTCTATGTGTTTGGATACTTTTTACAATTCTTTGATCAATCACACTTTTGAGAATCCTTACTTTAGAACAAAAGGGATGCCTTACCCTTTTACAAGTTCTTAGTATGAAAGAAGAACAAGAAAATCACTCTCTGTTTAGAGTAGATGTTACAAATTGAAGCACTATACTAAGTTTTTCTTATGTTAAAATCTATCATTCAATGGGTATTTATAAGCCATAATAACATGTAAGCCGTTGGGAAATTTTATCCTAAAAGATATGAATTATCAAAAAACTAGTTGTTTTGTACATTTAACTGCATTCTAATCGATTACAAGATCAAGTAATTGATTACACTATCTTAAAACACTTCTAAAAAAAAAAAATTAGAACTCTGTGGTCGATTACCAGGTTGATGTTGAGTGAGTCATGCTAACTGTTAGTCGATCTAAATTATGCCAAAAGAAATATTGTAATTGATTACAAGACTATTGTAATTGATTACCACCAGTGTGAAAAATCTTGTTATCAATACTTGACTATTTTCCCTTTTGTTAGAAATTTGTTTAACCTTCTTTTAGAAGCAAATTTGAATCTTAATTAAGGGAGTGGTAATTAAACTCATCAAAATAAAACTTTTAAACAAAGAACCTAAGCCCTAAAGATCTATCCATATAACCATTAAACTCATTCCTCTTCAAGCAGTTTTACGTCAAACTTATTGCAACCACTAATATCAAATTTGGCATCATCAAAACCTGCAACATAATCAGTTACAAGATCTATGAAAATATTGGCATGCCGTGATGGTTGTTTCTTGGGCTTAATTTTCTATTTTTTCCCTATTGGTTTTTTGGTTATGATTTCTTAAGTACTTGAGGATTTCTTATCCTCTGACCTTTCTTTGCTATCTTAATAAATTCTTTATTTATATATTTAAAAAAGTTGTTATTCTATGGTTCGCTATTGTAACAACCAACTAGTTTCGGTATCCCTTTTTGTACATGTATATTGTTGACATCCCTTATCAAACTATAAATATGATCAAAATAGAGCTTGTAAAAGCTTAAACAATCCTCATCTCATAAGCAAGCTATCCAATTTTAAGATGGTATCAAAACTTATCATAGATCTAATATTGAGCCACCCTCAACTATCCAAAAATCAACATGACCCCATGAATTTCTGAATGCAGCTAACTTGGCCTTGTGGTGCAATCTACTTGGATTTCCTAGTGCAAAATACCTAGTCTTGTGACTTTCCCATCGTAATATATAGAAAAAAGTCTTACAATCTCTACGCTCTAGTTGTTTAATCATGAGTGTGAGGTGAATGTATTGAAATTCACAAATATGACCAAAGTAAAGCTACCTTTGGGGGTTGAGGTAGGGCTAATTCAATTTTAAGACATACATAAACTACTTCACCTAAATCATAGCAACACTATTGTGTAGGTGTGAAGCGGAGCAGTAATTGGCCGCTAGTGCACAATATTGTGCTGTCGTGGAGTGTTTTTGGCATCACAAATGTCATGTCCTGATGGAAACTGAAATGCAAGTATTATTGAATACAAACAAGAAAAAGGTGAGTATACATAACTAGAGCTTATGGGTCCTACAGAAATTCCCATTGATACTGGAATTCTGCCCCCTTCTAACAGAATGTACCAACTTACTTTTTCCCTTTTTTTCCACAAACCTCTCCTCTTATTCTTATTCTGTCCCTTCTAACTAACTCATGCATTAAATTTCTTTTTTGTCCCATTACTCTTTTTCTTTCTCACATACACTCTCCACACTTTGGGCTTCTCAGCAGGATCCAATAACTAATCCCCTTCTCTTAATTTGTCACTTGGGCCAACAGCCCCACCAATACCTCATGCTGAAACAGTAGCCTTGTCCTCAAGGCTGAAATGAGGAAATTGAGTATTCATAAAAAATTCTTCCTCCCAAGTAAAGTCTTCAGCTGTAAGTCCCTTCCATTGAATTAGATACTCCCTAAATAGGTTACCCTCCTCCAGTTTGTCTTGTACTGCCCTAACCTTCTCTGGTTTTGTGACTTCTGTCACACCATCTACTGCCACATCCTTTGGCAGATCAGGAGTAGCTGAATACTGTCTGATAAGGTAAGGATTCTAAAATTTAAATTATGTATTGAATTGGCTCAGTTGAGCAGAAATTACAGCAATGGAAAGTGAGCTCTCAAGTGGCTCAACACCCTAAGTCTGAAATAATTTTTCCGATGCCCATTTCCCTTTGTAATCCCCTTATTTGAGCTGTTATGTTTCTTAAAATCATGCTCCTAGCTACTGTAACAGAAAATAACAAAAGGTAACAGAAAACAATAACAAAAGGAAATCCTAAACTACTCAAAACAGAACATAACAACTTATTTCCTAATTCCTCTCCTATAGTTTTGCCGCTTGTAAACTTTCAAGCCTTCAGGAAACTTGTCTTTAGCACTGTCCAACTGCCTTTTTGAGCAGTAATACATGGAATACTGGATGAACTCTAGAGGTGGGAGGTAACCAAAGCTTGTATGTCACTACTCCAATTTTTTTCAAGATCTGAAAAGGGCCAAAATATCGTGGGGACAGTTTTGAATAAATCCGTTGGGACACAGAAGACTGCTTATGTGGACGTAGTTTAAGGAAAACCCAATCACCCCTAGCAAAAGTTACATCTCTCTAGCATTTGTCTGCATAACGTTTCATTTGTTCTTGTGTTTTATTGAGATTAAATTTCAACTGCTTCAGGACTCATCATCTCTATCTTTAAAATCTCTTGCCACAGCCTCTTAGGGATGACAATGGGTAGGGTATAAGTAGAGTACTATAGTACCCATCTCCATACTCGTGTTTTAAAAAAATACCCGTACTCGGCCCCATACTCGCGAGGGTATGAACATTAATCCTCGTACCCGTACCCTTTGGGTACTCGCATACCCATTTTGTACTCATTACACGCGCTTATTTGAGAAAAAAATATTTATAAAGAAGAATATGTTTATATAACTTCACATAAGTAGTATAATAATACAAAAATTCAATATGTAGTTGCCAAATAAGGTATAAACATAGATAAAAAACAAATATTCAAAGATCATAAATGTTAAATGTATATTAATATAATAATTTTCTAAACTAAAATTCTTAGAAACGATAAGCGAAACTAAACACACAAGTTATTTGTCAGTGATAACCCTATCTTGTGTGAGATTTGATCGATTGGTAATGTCAGAGCGATAACGAAATAGATCTGTACAATGGTTGTCCCTTCGTGTGGGATCACTTGGTGACCTCTTGTGACGACATTGATAACTAACTCTAATGAATAACGTTTCATAATTGTTAGGTTTTAGTGAAACAGACATTGAGAATGAGAATAGAGTTAGAGTAGAGAAGTTCAATACTAACAATAGATAGTGGATAAATAAAATATTTTTTTTAACTTTTGATTTTGAAATTGTAAGAAAAATAATAGATTTAATTAAAATAATATATATATATTAATACTAATATTTTTAACTCATATACTATATGAAAGTATTTTATCAAAAATACAAATTTTTGAAAAATTATTTTAATGAATTAAATATTTATCATGTATATAAATTTTAAAAGAAAGAATTTGAATAAAAGATAAATAGTTACAATAAAATTTTATAATAAAAAAATATACGTGTATATTAAAAAAATATTTTTTATCTAAAAAAATTAACAAATAAAAATTAACAATAATTTTTTATATTTATATCTTTTCAAAAACTTTAAACGTGAATAAATAGTAAGAATAATATTATTTAGATTCAATAGATTATAGTTGTACTTGTAATACATATGTTCCATAGAAAATTATTATTTTAAATTAAAATATAAAAAATAAAATTTAAATATTATTAATAAATAATAAGTTTATGGTAATAGTAGGTGATTATAAAATTTATAAAATATTTACAATATATTTATTATTTATCATTTATTTTATGAGTTAAACATCAATATGATTTTATTAACAAAAATATTTTATGTGTGTCATATATAAATAATATTTTAAAAAAAGTCAATCTTATATTGACTATGTAATAATTAAATTGTATTAGCCTAATTAAATGATATAAAATAGTAAATAAATTTTTCTATTAAAAATATAAACCAAAATAAATTTTTTGGTTTACTTTATTAATAAATATATTTTTATATT